TGTTCTTTCATGATGAATGTTGACACCAGTCTGTCATCTAGCCCAGCTGATAGCACTGTACAGAAACAGAGGGGATTTTAAAGCAAATAGAGGAAAGTATGATTTCCTATATTTTATGCTATTGTTACTAGGAGAAACAGAATCCCTATGAAGTGTGATAAAGAGCAAGTCAGCTCTCTGTCACTTCAAAGAATGGTGTGAAGGTGTATAGTAAGAGAGAACAAAGGAGACTTCAGAATGGTTAGTTAACTTTGCAAATTGCAGTTAAACTTCTGTAACCAAGAAGTGGGAGATCTGAAGATAAATGATATCAAGTGCTTTCTTTACAAGTTAATCTTACTACTCAGATGTGAATTCTTATTTCCCTGCATTCTTCAAATTTCAGAGCTCTGTACCACAACATTTCAGGTGGTCCACTGATGGCTGCGTTAGCCATTCTGATCTCATGCTGTGTTTGTCCAAAAATCCACACCAAAAATACTTAAGTTGTTCACACTTTTATTGATTTGATAGTAAATTACCTCAACACTGAACAGCCTTGTGAAGCTTTCTGCAGAATGCTTGTTATGATGCTGAAAGATAGATATACTTGGACCAGGATATGTTGTTCTGTGTTCATGCAGTCTCCACATTTCTGTGCTGGTTTCTAGCTCCCTCATGTTTTTTATATAGCTGCTTAGAACTGGCTTATACTGATAAAATTGTAGCAATTTAAATCCCTGTGCTTTTGAGTAGAGCTCATACCGAGATGTTGCTTTGTGTTTACTTCTACAGACAGAGCAAGACTTGTCAGAACCAGGCGCTGGTGAAGGCTCTCCTTCCGTACAGTTCTTGTTTGCAAATGCAAAGCAGACTTTAACTTCATCAGCATTGTTTAGTTCAGAAATCTCTTGTCTGTGCTATATAAAAGAGGAATTTAATTTGCATACTTGTGTTACTAGCTCAGATGTAATTCTGGAAATTAGGAGGTAGGAATTTATTACTCTGGAAGTGCCTGTCCTGACTGATATCTTAAAAACAGCCGTACATCATTTATTGGTGACTTGTGTTGCCTGCTGCTTATATGATCCAGTGCATCTTATTTACATACTTGTGATTGTTACAGTTCAAGCCTTACTTTCACACCACCCTGAAATAAAGGTAGTATTCTAGTTTTGTGGCATGGACTTTTTACTTATATCAAAATTGATATGAGAGGAAGAAAAAGATTGTACGAACTGGAAATGCAGTGCACCTATATAGAAAGAAATGAACAGCCCACCAAATGTCTTGAAAATCTCCTGTTCTTTGCTGTCATGTTTCACAAACTCTCAAAAATGTAATGAGTAACAAAGACTGCTCACTGTTCTGTCTGTCTGTATTTTTGTTCACTGCTTTATGTGCTTTTTTTCTGACACGCATATAGAAAATCAAGATAGCTATTTTCAAAGTGTTGTCTGTGGTGACCTAGTGTTTATTCATCTGCTGGCTGACATACATTTCACCTGAGGACATCATCTGCTAATTTGACACCTTTCTTTTTCGTGCCCTTAAGCTGTTTTGACACCAGAGGCTTTGCAGGCTCCATCTTATGGAGAACTAGCAGCAATACAAAGTGCAAGGAAGAAAAACAATGTGAACTGAAGCTTGGTGAAAATAGAGTTGTGTAATATGGCACTGGTTAGTGGCTGGATGAAAGCCACGAGAGATGACACAGATTTAGTGGCATGTGTAACTGCAAAGAACAAAGGAGTTAATCAGCAACAGTGCTGTATATAAGAAGTGTTACTGTGTATAAATACATATTAAAATTTTTGCCTAAGCTTATGATAGAGAGTCAGCCTGCTGTGGTTTAGTCTCCTAATATTCCTTTTGTAATAACTTTTAAAATTCATTTTAGGTTTACTTTTCTGGGTTGCTAAGTGGTAGTGAATCTGTGAAACACATCCGGCAGTGGAATAATGGCTCTGTTTGAAGATGCTTGCAGCTTTTTAGAGAGGAAAATATTATCCAGATGATGAAAAAAAGAATTCCTCCTCACATAAATGAAGCACAGTAATAAATATATTGTTTCACTTCTGTTCTCTATTTTTGCATTACAGTATGATATGGAAAGACAACTCTTCCTATCAGCCTTATAGAACATATTAAAGTGTCAGGCTTTTCTTTAGGACTTGTTTGCAAGGTACAGCTTTTTCCTTTTAAGATGCTTATAACTTCTGGGCTCCTGCACTGCAGAGAGTTGCAATATGCTGACATTGCAGCAGTGAGTAAGGAACTCATCACTGGATCTTGCTTTCCTGGGGCTACCAAAGTGTGTTTGTCCTTACCTGTGACAAGGTTCAGTTCTGAACGTCAGTTCTCTGTAGTATGAAAGCTGGTGGGCTAGAAGTCTGTTACTCCATTATTCATTTTTCTGGACATGGCTGCAGATGTACAGCTTTCTTCTGTCCAGTAAAGCTTGGCAAAAAAGCTGAGCAGCAGCAGCACAAATATCAGTGCTGCTTACGGCAGTCACTGTAAGAAGATAATCTGGTGGGAACAGAACAGTGCTAAGATCATATTCACAATATTAACATAGACCTGTGAAGCAAGCAGCAGTTTTGTAATATCATGGAAACACACGTTTTCCATGTATATGCATGCATATATGTGTGTGTGCACATGCCAGGAAATGGAGCTCTAATTTCCTCTGGAAAAAAATGAATACAGCTGTCTTGTTCCTCTCAGACACCTTTTGGGTTTTTATATTTGATATTCATGATGTCATCTTCACACTTACCTTGAGTTTTTAGCCTTTATCTGTTGAACTTTTCATGCATGTTAACTGGCTAAATCAGGAGACTTGTAGCTGATTAATATTTTTCCTCTGCAGCTGGGGCATCTAGAACAGGCATAAGCTTCTTGATGCCTCATTTACATTCAGTTCCTTTTTAAACAGGCTTGCACTGTTTCTAGACCTTCCCATCTTTCTTCACCTGCTGTCAGTTCTTGTTGTGCCTCTCACTAGAGTTGTTGTTCCAGCTGTGCATTTGCATTTCTTGATTTTATTCATGCAGCCAGATAACATAATATGAAACCCTCCTACATCAGCAGTAATGACAGCAATACTCATGGGATAGCTGTTGGCAGGTTGATTCTTACTTAACCGTGTTAACAGTTTTGGTACTGCTCCCTGGTGGATGTGGATGTTCAACAAACACACACACAGATTGAGTTCTGCACCTGGAATTTTTGATGTTGCTTTATGTTGAGGAGCGAAATACAGTGACTACTATCTCTTTTTTTTCCCTGCACAGAGGTCGTCCCCTATGAGATGAGTTTTGTTGAAAGAGCTCTTCCTATTCTCTCATATTCTGTACTTTATTCTATGCACGAAATAAATATCAGTTTTGATGTGTTCAGTCTCTGGTTCATCCCAAATGTTAATGATTATGTTGTTACAATTTCCCTCTGTCCCAGCAGATCAAGATTAGAGATGAATCTCTATGGCTAGAGATAGTTTAGGTGATTTCCAACTGGCAAATTGTCTTGTTTCTGCTGAAATATGAGGGCAACCCAATGCCTTGTTCTACTTCACGTATTTGAATAAAACATGATTGCTGACTTAAGAGTGTGAAGGAATTTGAGTTTGTAAATTATCATATCAGTCTGTGGGAGAAATTCTTTCATACTGAAAAAAGAATATGTTTATAAGTAAGTAGAGCATTAAGCTTTAGGCTTCATATTTGCATTTCAATTTAAAAAAAAAAAAAAAAAGTGTTGTCCTCTGTCCAAGACTGTGTGTAGTCACAACCAGCATTTGTGAAGCTAGTGCTGCTGCTAATCCCGTGGGAAAGTGCCAAACTTGTCAGCTTTTATAAATTGCTGTCTTTATGACAGGAAACTGGGAGGGAAGGGTCTTGTATCTGAATGGAACAGCAAGGAGAAAGCTGGTATGTCAGGCAGATGTATTCCCGAGCCACTGTTCTCTGTGGTGAAAGCAATGCCAGAAGCATGGGTCTTGTTGAAAGGTTGGATGGAGTCCATGAGAACTCTGTGAGCATCCGGTAAATATTTTGGCTGGATGAGGAAGAGGCTGGAGGAGAAGACCTCTTGGAGAACAATTGAAAACAAGGCAGGTCTTCTTGTTTCTTTTGTTCCTAGCATGGCAACTATTTTTACATATATGTTGGTAGCAATAGTGTGTTTTCTCTACCTTTACCTGAACGCATCGTACATGGTGAATGGTTTGAGACTGAGTGTCAAGCCATTGTCAACATGGTGGTGACTCATACACAGGAGTTCTATCATGCTTGTAGCATCTGGCACCTTCAGGCAATATGAGGGTTACTGGGTGTTTCCTTGATGGCCTGCCTCTAAGCAGCAGAGGCTAGCTTAAGAGTTTATTACGCAGAACATACCCCCTGCTATAAGGATCCCTGACAAGGATGAGTAGGTGCCTAAACTTCAGCTTCCGTTGAGTTTATATTCACCCTCACAGTTGACTGTGATGTGAAATATTTCATATGACAAGGAGTACGGTGGGGAGTGTCTGAAGGGCTACAACAGTGCTTCTGGTTGGATTTGCTTATGCTACAGAGGTGACAGACTAAAGACCTGCAGTTCAAGTCCAATGCAAAGTTTTTAACATGGTGCAGAAAAGCAGTACAAATACATAGTTAGTCTAAATACAGTAGTTCTGAAATTCAGAGTGCTTTAGAATAAAATTTTTAAAGTGTTCTGAAGGTTTCGGTGTCATCTCTGGGCTTTTTTTTTTTTTTTTTTTTCTTTTACATCAAAGCAACAGCTCTGTTATAATCTGTAATTGCATTAGTCAGAGCAGATACTTCACTCTGTGTTAAGCAGCTCAGTGAAATAGGAAGGAGGAACCTGGTTGATAAACATGATGCAGCCCTTTGGCAATGCCTATCAGGTTCAGCTGCTTTCTTTGCAGCAGTTGCTTTATCTGTGTGCTATGAATTGCTCTTAAAAAGAACACCTTTTAATGTATGCCACTCTTGTTTCCCTCTGTGTTTTTGCAGCAAGTGACTGGCAGAAGTTTTGGTGAGAAGGACTTTCGTTCTGGATTAGAAAACGGCATTCTTCTGTGTGAGTAAGTAACACAGTTTTGAGTCTTGAACACATTCTTGACTATAGATGAAATGAACTTCAGCTAGTATGTCTGATTGCTGGTTTCCTTTTGCAAGTTTTGACGTTGTGCGTGCTGGTTGTTTCACTGCAGCATCCTTTCAGTGCCAATGCTATCTTGTTACAGTGAGAATCAAGATGTGGCTTAAAGAAAACAAGTTTTACAGAGTGCTTCCCTCACTCCACCCCAGCTCCTTAGTAGAGTTATGTAAAGTGAAAATGATGTTTTCTTTTTGGTTTCCTTTTATTTTAAGACGTTAACCACAGATTGGCGAATGGTGTTCCACACCTGCCTGCAGATCTCTCTGCTCTGGTGAAGTGTTTTGGACAAATGCCAGGTTCAAGCACTGTCAAGAATTAACCATCTGAACACCATCAATACTCAACAGCTTTTATAGTTTCTGGAAAGTTTATACATCCTCTGAATTTTACCTGAAGGTGTATTGGAATGATGTGTTTTGTAATTTTTGGACAGGCAATGCTTCTTCATGTTTCTCTCTGTGGTTTTAACAGCAAGTTTTTCAGCAGTCTTCCAAAAACATGTGACCTCAGATGCCAAAGCTAGTGACTTTAAAGAGAAATTTGGAAGTGTGCTCTATGCCCCTAGTTCTTTGGAAATCCCATGCAGGATGTCAGGAGTTTCAGAGAATGAACTGATCTGAATCATATGTATGTACTATTTTCTTTCCTCGGGAAAGCAGAGTTGTCACTGAAGTGGGTAAAAGCTGTCTTCGCACACCAGAAGGATGAAGCTTGTGCAGAAGAACTGAATGCATACTGAAATTTATGAATGAGATCTCCTGAGACATTTAGCCAAAGCACTTCAGCAACTGGTTTTTCTATACTACAAAAGGTGCAAGAACATGGAGTTTGTTTTCAGTAGTATGGTTGAGCTAATATTCTGTAAGTCAACTGTAGGTTGCTTACAACAGCTTTGAAACTTACTTGTGCAAGTACTGCTATATATCTCACAGGTGTAAGTAATCTTCTTCAACTTCAGCAGCTGAGGAGTGAAAAAGCATAAGGGAACTGATCTTGTTTAATTGTAGTTGCATGTCTTTGCTGGGCTTTGAGAGGAGGGAAGTAGTTGTTATTGTTGATCAAATGTGTAAACTCAGGAGCAGCATGGTGTCCACCTCTCTGCGTGGAAGGGTTGCCTCTTATACAAGGTCTTACTCTCTGGTGTTCAACAGAAGCCACCTCACAGTGCTCCTTAAATGGTTAGTAGATAAAATTCTACTAGGCTACAAAACATTACCAAGATAACTTCCACTTCGGCCTTGCTAATAATGAACAGTTTGAGGCCAGCAATAAAAGCATGCTCCTTGCTGCTTCTGAGTTCACTGTACGAACTCAGAAATTTGGAAATATAACACTGAGAACTCTTAATGCATTTTTGAAAAGAACAGACTTTGGCCTCTAATTTGTGTATCTCTTGCTCTGTGAAGCAGTGCTAGTAAAGTTACCACAGGCAATATCTCTCTTAACCTCCTCTGTCTTAGCTGACCTCAACAAGTAAATGAAAATTGTATCTCAGCATCTCTGAGAAGCTGCTGAAGGCAAGAAAGGAATTCTAGGTGTTGCAGGTTTCTGAAGATGTAAGAAGTCATTACCTTTAGCCCAGTTTACCTGATTTATTACTCAGAACTTTTAGGAAGAAGCTGAATTGTCTCAGCTTACCCACATGGAATGGCACTAATTGGTAATGCCGTTAGCTGACAGCTCTGCTGGACATTTGTGGGTGATGCTTGTCTGAGCTTGGAGTGGTGCTAACTTTCATGTGGTTTTTTTTCAGTGTCCTTGCTTATTATTATGTTTTGAGATGAGACCTGAAAGTGCGCCTGGGTCCTGAGGGTACCCAGCAGCAAGAAGGCTGGGAACTAATGTCAACAGGTGGAATCTGCCACTGTGCCAGGACTCTCCCAAACCCTGCACGGGGCAGGCTTTTTGTGCATAAAAAGGGAGGGGAGGAGAGGCTGGCTCCATGGCAGAGTCCAATCTGCTAACAGTTGGACTAGCCATGTGCAAAATGACCCAGGGGACATCTTTGTCTGTCTGCAGTAGGTTGCTGGAACCTTATGTGCAATAATGCCAGGCCTTGCTCCAGTTGGTAGCAATGTCTGTGCCCTACACTTGTTCAGAACAGATTCCTGTTTCAGCAGAGCAGTAACAGGAATCTTTCCCTCTTTTGTGTGCTCCTTAAAGGGATATTTCAAAACCTGTAGTGGCATTCACAAGCTGTTTGTGGCATTTCCCTTCTGTGCTGACAAACCCTAGACTAATAAATCTCTCCCAGCTGTGGTTCTGGCAATTAGCACACTACTGAGATGTGAATGCTTGAGGTACTACTGTAGCAATCCACTGCAAACTCTGGCAGACATCGTTATGCTGGTTATAAATCACTCATTCACATCTGAAGGAACTGGGGCTGTTTAGTCTGGGGATAAGGAGGCTGAGAGGAGACCTTATTGCTCTCTTCAAATACTGAAAGGTGATTACAGCGAGAGCAGGGTTAGTCTCTTCTCACTGACAGGTGACAGGACAGGAAATGGCCTCAAGTTGTACAAGGGGAGGTTTAGGTTGGATATCAGGAAAAACTCTTTTAAGAAAGGATTGTTAAGTACTGGAATAGGCTCCCCAGGGAGGTGGTTGAATCACCATCCCTGGATGTGTTTAAAAACTGTTTGGATGTGGTGCTCAGGGATGTGATTTAGCGGAGGGTCGTTAAAGTTGGGGTAGTATGGTTAGGTCGTGGTTGGACTTGATGATCTTTAACGTCTTTTCCAACCTGAGCAATTCTATGGTTCTATGATCTAGCAACCATGCACGTATTTCAGTACATGAAAACTAATATAACTGTGCCTTGCCTGCAGCATGGGCTCTCGGGAGGGGCACTGTACTCTGGCAGTCCAACTAGTGGAAAGCATCCCACTCAAGTTAGCTGCAGGCACCTGAAGACCCTTGTGCCTGATTTCCCTGGTAGTGTTTGCATGGTTGCTGGCATCTAGATCTGGCCTCATTATGATATTTTTAAAGCCTGTTGCTCTCAGTTCAAGAGCATATTTAAACAACGCAGGATGCCATGAAGTTACATGCTGACAAATGGGAATAACACAAGTCCTTCCTTCTTTCTGGATTTGAAAGCCCACTTGTGCAGTTTCCCTGACAGTACCAGCTCTGATTGTTCACCCAGCTGTGCTCAGAAGCCAATGACTACCACTTCTGTTTCTCTGAAATGATTTATTTCATGGCTTTGTAGCATAGCTGTCTGACATCAGTGCAGATGGTGACTTCAGCAAGGGGCATCAACATAGCTAGGAGATGCAATTCAAACTCTGTTCTTACTTTATGTATTAAAATGTTATATGCAGAGACTGAGGAGCTTCCTGGCCGCACTCTGCATGCATCGGTAAATGTTCCATGCTGGGGACGTGACAGGAAACTATTTGATGGAGGAATACAGCAGCAACAGCAACAAATATCCCTTGAAATCCCAATTTCTGCTCAGGCACACGTTCTTTTTCTTTTCATTGTTTGGTTTATTCTATTTTGTTACTGTTACATAGTTTTGATGTTGCAGTTAGATTCTGGTTACCATTTTATGAACATTTTCCCAAAGTTTTTTCTTTTTTTTTTCCCAAGCCATTTGTTTTGTAGATTAGTACATAGTGTTATGTAGCTTAGTAAAATGTGCAGAAACAATGTTTATTGTTTTTAGTTAGCACTCTGACTCTGTAACTTTTTCTCTGTTTTGTGAAAGAGCAAATATAATGGTGGTTTATTGCTCTTAGTCTTGGTAAAATTGGTAATGTACAGTAAGTAGAGGGAAAAATTTTATCCTTTTTCTTGTGCAAGGAAATGTCCATGAAGGGCCCTTCCCTTCAATCATGCATGCTCTTAAAAAAAAGCCTGCAATCTTTTTTGTACTTTTAAATTTGGGGGGGGGGGGGGGGGGGGGGGGGGGGGGGGGGAAGAGAGAGAGAAAATTTAATCATATACATAGATTATTTGAATAGTAATTAAAGAAAAAAATGAAGTGTGATTATAAATGTGCGTGAGCTGAAAGGGATTGTGATTAAGATTTACTTAATGGAATTTATCATTTACTCTGTCATGAGAATAATTTTCTTCTATAAATAAGAAGTCTCCTTGGCTTGTGTTCTTTATGTCTCTGGTGATGAATGAGCTGCTTATTCTCAGAGAGCAGACTTTCTTAAGGCTTGCATCATGGCTTCATCATGCATCTGAACCAAGCTTTGGGCTGGCATGAATGCTGTTTTCACTAAGAGCTGGATATGTGCCAGATCAGTGCAAGTATAATGCTGTGGAATAGAAAAACTTCGTTTTTGAGTCAGTGGTGGTGTTAGGTGTGGAACCTTATTTCAGAGCAGCTTTACTTGAATGTGTGGCATTTCATTTTTACTCTTTAAAAATCACTCTTCTAATGTCTTTAGACATTAAAGCTAATGTCTTTTATTTAAAATTACCGCTTATGGTGACCTGGGGAAAATAAGTATGCAGTTACCTTAGTAGATTGTAGGATTTTGGTATGTCGTTTTACTTATCTGTCAGTGGTAAGAGCCTGGCATCAATTCAGCGCTCAGCTGTACAGTGTACAATGCAGATACTTATGTTTAATTAAGTTTTGTTTGAATTTGCTATTCCTGGAAGCCAAGAAGGTATTTGAGTTTCACAGGCGTACTTGAAATTTTGAATGCGACCCATGCCTTAAGGTAAGAAGGGATTGGTGCTCTCCTGCGGTTTTCAGGCTGCGTATTGTAAAGCCAAAACATAATCAGCATCGTGGATTTGGCATGGCTCCAATTTAGAGAGACGGGCCCCAAGGCTCATTAAGCATTGAGATTTAGGTTCATGTGAGGACATCTGAAGCAGTTTTATGTGGACCTGAGGTTTTTCATCTTTAAGTTTTACTGCAACGTTACGATGATGAGCTACTTATTAGTA